AATATTAGGATAGGGAAAATTTGAGGTATGACACCCATGCACTTCACGATAAACTAAACTAATTGTTCACACTTGAACCATCTTAGAGAAGAAAAAGCTTCTCTCCCACTTGTTTCAAACCCACTCTTGCAAACAAGTGATTAGAAAAGCAAGCAAGCACCAATAGTGTTTCGCACACTTGTCGCATACTAAAGAACAAACAACATTACACAACTTGGTCGGATGAACCGACCTGCTCTGATACCAATTTGTAACACCCTATTTTCCCCATCGCATATTTGATAAAATCAGAGTAATTTAAAAACTCCAATCAACGTCAAAATAGGATGTCACATTTCATCATCTCAAAAATTGCTCAAACATTAACAAATGGACACATAACAAACTATTTTTGGATGAATCGACAACATAATTATCAAGGTATTCGACTTCACTTTATTAATTGCAACGTAAAACATTTTAGAATATGTTTAGTCACCAACTCTAATAACAATTCATAAACAACGTCTCACCAAGTAAAAGAGAGTCTACAATGCTCTCACAATCTTTTTAAAAACAAGTAACAACTAAATAAGTAAACAAACATCCATCCCCGGTGTTACGTATCAGAGCAAGATCCGACTCAATCTGTGTAATACGAGGCATATCTCTATCTCAAGCAAATCTAATATTCGTCACCTGCGCGTTATCCACGTGGAGGCAACATTCAAACATTAAGGGTTGAGATATCTTAACAATATAAACGAATATATAATAATGAACAAGTAAAGTATGGTATATATAATCATAATATCATACTTCATGCATCAACACCAATACATAACATCATTTCAACAATCACAGCCAACAAACAATATATCACATCTCTTCAACAACAACGTCATAATGCAATGAGACCAACTTCCCTAAATATATGCATGTGGTACCACAACAACGTCTCTTTGCCATTTAGGCTACACCGTCACTTTCCATTAAAGTTACACTGTCACTTGCCATTAAGGCTACACCGTCACTTTCCATTAAAACTACACCATCACTTGCCATTAAGGCCACATCATCACTTATGAACATGCATGCAACATTAACATGTTATGATAACAAATTCAATAACATAACACACATTAACAAACCAAGCCAATACAAACTGTTAATCACACATCACTGTTCATATATTGTCGCAACGTCACTACATCATGAAATCTCTTCACATTCATTGTCATATTCACAACTTCACAATTACAACAAACATCGAGATAAAACAAACCCAAAAAATCTTCTCATACTGTGTTTAATTCATTTTTATTAAGTATAAAATATTTTTAGCTTTCTGTAGGTTCAAACGGCGTGTCAAACGGACACCCGAGTCAAAAGTTATGAATTTTCAAAGATTTTCAAGAATCTGTCAGTTTCAGTAGGATACCCGGGTACCCATATATGGTAACCGGTTACCCCCTGTCAAAACGGCCAGAAACTCTATTTTTCGAGTGGTAACCGTGTACCCATATACGGTAACTAATTCCCGCGGTTCTAGAATAAAAAAAACAGACTTTTATGTTACAAAAAACACTTATTTGTCCGGTAAACATGTGTAACTTCCACCTACTATACCGTTAATTATAATTGAACTTCCCATATTCATACCTCAATACCAACCATTTTAATTCACACAAAAACACAATTAAACACTTAAATTAAGTGATTCTTTCATCCAAATCAAAAATCATTGTTATAGCAATTACACCCAAACATCACCTATCAATCAACTTCATTTATACAACATCAAATGCAAGAATTTAACACCCATTCATCATTAATAATTGTCACATAGATAAATCACATAAAATACCCAATTCTAACAAAGATGAACATATAATTATATAACCTAACTCTACCATAACCCATCATCATACAAACCCTTATAGAGTTAGAACCTCACCCTTACCTTAGGTTTTGAGTTCTCTTCCCTTATCCAATGGAGTCTTCTCTTTAGCCCTAGGTTCTTCCTTTTCTCCTCTTCTCCCCAAAGCGCTCTTTTTTCCTCTTCTCTAATTTTTACGATCGATTAAGAATAATTATTCTCTCTATCTCTTTAGACCCCTAATATAAATAACCCCATATTTCCCTTCCTTATTTTAATTAATTATTTAATTACTAATATTATAAATAACTTGTATCTATAATAATAATAATAAAATGATTACAAATCTTCTCACCACACCCCCATGGTTCTATGGTTTCATTCATACACCCTTAACACCTCAACTTCTATAATTTCTAAGACATATCATCATCAACAAACACATCACATCTCATCACATTGTAGAATCTATCAACTCATACAAATACACCGCATCGACTAATTCGCCATAATTCATATATTCACCAATAATCATTGATATTTATACTAAGTTAATTAAATAATTAATCTAGATTTTTTGGGTGTTACACGTTTCACCAGAAATGGTTAGAGGAACATGTACTCGTAATTGGTAGATTTTATGTTTCTCTTCAAGTAGAGGAGACTCGGGAACATACTCTTGATTTCATACTAGCAACGGTTTTGCTATTTGAGAGATTGAGATTAAAGCTTATTTCTGTTATTTGGATGCTTTATTGGTTCTGAGCGCCATTGTTGAGGATTGGAGCTTGGAGGATGAAGAATTTATAAAGATTTTTTGAAGAAGAAGTTTCAAAAAGACGCAAGTTTGTGAGTTCAAAAATGAAAAAAGTGTTAAAAATGAAAGACTAAGGTATTTGTAGGAAGTAGAAGAAGTCGTTTCATTTTCATTTTAAATGATAAATGGAGAATTAGTGGGGCACGTGTAATCTTCCAAGAGGATGTGCAAACGGTTTCTTATATAGTTACCTCCATGCTCCTATTTTCTAGAGGTAATGATTCTTGCAGCGATGCACGTTTCAATGAGATGTTTATGAAAAAGTGGTCATCATGACCATGATGTCACAACAGTAATTACTATCGCGTCGAAAGCTTTCAAAAAATGTATTTTTCTCATCATAATCAAAAAAAATCATTTTTGGGGGACAATTTGTTAACTGGAAATTTCGACGCTCAAGTTTTAGTAATGAGTTTGAAGGAAATTTGAAAAGAGCATTGGAGATAGTTAAAATTTGTTTTTGACAGGAATAATAGATGACATTTTGACCGAAGTCTTGACAAATGGTTCACATTGACAAAATAGTACAATGCTGGGACTTAACATTTTTTGAAGATGTTTCGAAGCAAGTTCGACAAAGATATTTGAAATGAGACTGATAATTGAATCTTGACCTTATCCATTCTTTTGAAAAGAGACGCGTGGAGGCATGCGAAGGGTAGAGCACATGCAGACGAGAACGTGTCATCTTCTGAAGAGAAGATCGTTACCATTAGTTTCAAAATTAATATAAATAAGAGTCTTTAGTGTTAGGATTCTGTGTGTTTGATATTGTACAACTTGCTCATATTTACTCAAAGTACCAAAGTGTTATCGAGAAATGAGTTTATGATAAATGTACGTATGAAGCACCATATTTACTTTGAATGTAAGTTTATTTTCATTAAAGTTGTTTATATTCTCTTTAAATTCCATTCGAAACTTCTCTATTTTCTAATCATTTGCATAAATAATTTTATTATTACTTTGGAATCCACCTTTACTTTTGAAGAAGTCAATATCCAGAAAAATTAAACAAAAAATTATACACTTTCATTCTAGGATCAATCTAGTCGATCATGTAAGTAATCAAAGGCATTAGATTTTGGAAGACTAGCGCTTGTTTACCAAATTTCATAGTAAACACACATCCTTAGATGAAACTAGATATCACGGGAGCACTGCTTAAACCCGCTCATCAGGAGATATTGAAAGAGGAACGGGCTAGGGATGACCATACCACAAACCTGTTGCCGGTCTGTCAGCGTATTGTGCATGTTGCGAGAGATGCCATCGATAAAAGAGACATTGTAGAAGGCAATCTTGGTATGACCGCGTTATAAACCATATTACTTGAGGCATGAAATGCCTTGGGGTACATATGGCGGTAGAGGAGAAGCACGAAGATTATAAATATACAATAGTTTCTTTTTATTTGTATTTTGATAACAGTTGTATTTTATGAATAAATTATGTATCGTGATAACTTTTTCAATTAATTGATTAATGTCTAGACTTGAATTTATGTATAACATATTTGAATTACATTAATATAATTAGCATGATATTAATATATCCTTAGTGTAAATAATCTAGAAATATCAATATGCGATACTTGTTGTCAAATGTTAACAATCCCTAAATATTTTAAAGGGTTATTTTGAAGATGCATCTACAAAATTACCCTTAAAACAATTACGAAGATACATTTCCGATTTATTTTTTTTGACAAATTTAAGATGAATATTTCACTTGTAAAACACATGGTGTTGTTAGAGGATAATCTAACGATGCATCTTAGTAAAATTTTACAGGTAATTCTATAAATGCGTCTCCTAACTGTTTTTTGGACAGATACAAAATGTATGACTCCCTTATAAAAATACATGTCTGAAATATAAAAAAATAAATTCGATTTTCTATTTTATTCACATTCATTCTAGGAAGTGGATAAAGTAATGCCATATTATTTTGATAGTACGATTGATTGCATGAAAAAATAAACATAATGGATTCAAATTAAAAAATGTGATGATATATTGATATCCACAATAGTGATTATTGTTAGTTTTTTTGTAAAAAAATAAAAGTAATAATTAAAGTAAAAGAAATAAAAGAAGAATTGAAAGTTGAAAATAAAAGAAAGAAAGAGATAGAGGTGTAATTGGGCCCACAAAGTGATGTACCTGCTGGCAGACAGACTGGTTCTCCCCATCATTATCATAATCTCTTTACATAAAACACAACAACCCAGCCCATTGTCTCCAACTCCAAACCAATCCCACTCTCTCCCTTTTATATCTCTCTTTCATTCCAATACCCTAATTCATCTCAATCTTCACTCTAATGGCTCAAGAACCCCAAAACCCAGCTGATCAAGTGCTCACAACCACCTCTGAAGCTCCCGTCAAACAACCACCACCACCCGCCGAAGAAGTTGTTGCTGCCACCGCTGCCACCACTGACAAGGACGTTACTCCGGTTGCTGAAGATCCCGAGAAGCCGGCTGAAGCTGTGGCGGAGACTGCTAAGCCTGCTGATGAAACTGTCGCTGATAACAAAATTTCTCAATCGGTTTCTTTCAAGGAAGAAACTAACGTGGTTTCTGAACTTCCTGATCTTCAGAAAAAAGCACTCGATGAACTCAAACAGCTTATTCAGGAAGCACTTAACAAACACGAGTTCACCGCTCCTCCTGCTAAGCCGGTAACACCTGAAGTAATCGCGCAAGAAGAGAAAAAACCAGAAGAAGAAGAGGAGAAAACCGAAGAGAAAAAGGAACAAGTAACAGAAGAGAAGAAGGAAGAAACAGTAGTAGTTGGAGAAGAAAAAGCTTCTGCTTCCGAGGAACCTAAAACCGAACCTGAAGCACCTGAAGCACCTGAAGCCAAGAAAGTCGAGGAGACTGTGGTGGAAGTTGTTGAGAAAATAGCTTCGAGCACTGAAGAAGACGGTGCGAAAACGGTTGAAGCTATTCAGGAAAGCATAGTATCTGTTGCGGTTACGAACGGTGATGGTGAACAGCCTGTTGCTGTTGATGTGGAGGTTCCTCCCTCTACACCAGAAGAAGTTGAAATATGGGGAATTCCCTTGCTAGCTGATGAAAGAAGTGATGTGATTCTTCTCAAGTTCCTTCGAGCCAGGGATTTCAAGGTGAAGGAAGCTTTCACAATGATCAAACAAACTGTTCTTTGGAGAAAGGTAAATTGAAGACATAGTTTGATGAGTTAGTAGTTTGTTATTACTTAGCTATTAACCGTATGTTTGGTTCTACCGTGGAAATAATTGATTTTGAATGAATTGATTCTAACTAAAAGTGATTTGAAGGTAAAATAATTTATGTTTAGATAAGTTTATGTAGGTAAGCTGTTTTCATTTTAGTGTTTATGCGATTAGGTAAGCTCAAATAACTCAATTCAATCTGAACGTGATCGTAGTTTGTTGAATAAGTTGTTATTATTTAGTTTCTAATTGATTGTGACTGTGATAAAAGGAATTTGGAATTGAAGCACTTCTTCAAGAAGATCTTGGAACTGATTGGGACAAAGTTGTTTTCACGGATGGTTATGACAAAGAAGGTCACCCGGTTTACTACAATGTTTTTGGAGAGTTTGAGAACAAGGAATTGTATCAAAAGAGTTTCTCTGATGATGAGAAGAGAAACAAGTTTATCCGTTGGAGGATTCAGTCTTTGGAGAAAAGTGTTAGAAAGCTCGACTTTGCTCCATCTGGTATCGCTACTATTGTTCAAATTAATGATCTTAAAAATTCTCCTGGATTCGTTAAGAAGGAACTTAGACAAGCTACTAATCAGGCACTTCAATTGCTTCAGGATAACTATCCCGAATTTGTTGCCAAACAGGTTATTAACAATTATTTTGATTTTTTTGGAATATGTTGGAGTTTTTCATGTTTAGTGACTAATATCGTTGCTTAATTTGGTGCTTCTTTTTGGTTGTTTCTGTTTGTGTAGATTTTTATCAATGTTCCTTGGTGGTACCTTGCCTTTTCTAGGATGATTAGTCCTTTCCTGACACAGAGGACCAAGAGCAAATTTGTATTTGCTGGCTCCTCCAAATCTGCTGATACCCTTTTCAAGTAAGTCCTTCCTTCTCCTTTTTTAGTGCTTCATGGTAAATACAAGTCATGTTTTTTAGCCCGTAAGAAGGAAGTTGTTTAAAGCTTACATATTGATCTTATTATCACCAACCTATATGAGGTTATAAATTGGCTATGAAGTAGTTTTGTGCTTCCATGCTTGATATTGTGAAAACTACTATGTCAAACACCACTTATTCCAACCAACAAGGTTTTAAATTGCCTATAAAGTAGTTTTGTGTTGCTATTGTTGGTATTGTGAAAAATTGATGTCAAATACCACTCATTCCGAGGAGTTAAGTCATGTTTCATGCCTTGGTACTGCAAGAGTTTGATCAAATACAGTTGGTGCAGGCTCAACTGTAGTTGCGTTATAGTTGCAGAGAGATAGAAAGCCTCGACTTTGTAGTTCAGATTCCCGTCCTAGACTTTTATTAAAATCTTAGAAGATGCGGCTGCAGTTGCACTTGCTGTTGCAGAGACATGGAAACTTGATATAACTGCCGCAGTTGTAGTTGCGGATAAGTTTTGGATCCTTTGGGAACATACCTTGTTAATATATCATTATTGATATTGTTATTTAGTAAGCTCTTATTGATAAATATTTGACTGGAACAGATATATAGCTCCTCAGCAAGTGCCAGTTCAATATGGAGGACTTAGCAGAGAGGGTGAACAGGAATTCACCACTGCTGACCCTGCTACAGAGGTTATTATCAAACCAGCAACAAAACATGCTGTTGAGTTCCCAATTTCTGAGGTGAGAATAAAAACGTGTTTCATAACCAAAACCAATCTTATCATGGTTTTGGTTTTGGTTTTAAATTGTGGTTACGTATATGCTGTGACCCTTTATACCGCAATTACTGTTGTGAACTGCAATTTAAAACCATGATCTTATGTGCATATTTAGTATTAGTATCTTAACTGAATCTGAATGATTGAATGAGCAGAAAAGCACCTTGGTATGGGAAATCAGAGTGGTGGACTGGAATGTGAGCTATGGAGCAGAATTTGTGCCTAGTGCTGAAGATGGATACACAGTGATAGTACAGAAAAACAGGAAAATCTCGCCAGCTGATGAAACAGTAATCAACAACACCTTCAAAATCGGTGAACCTGGCAAAGTTGTACTCACCATTGATAACCAAACATCAAAGAAAAAGAAGCTTCTTTACAGGTCCAAGACCATACCCATCTCTGAGTAAAAACGGCTTCAAAGAAAAAAGTCTGAATTCTTCATTAACAAAGAGAATGATGATACCAAGGTGAAGAAGAATACTAAGGGTGTTGTTTTGTATTCATTATAAGGATTATAACACTGTTGTGAAAGTTATTGGGTGGGTTACTTATATTCTTTTATATAGGGTTATTTTGTTCATTTGGGTTGTAAATTATTTTTGTTTCATGTATGGGGTTTGGGAAATTTTATTTACAGTTATTATTACTTATTAATATCTTCAATAGTAATGTGGTGTTTTCTTCTTTTGAATTTGAATTTGTTTGTTATGGACTCAATTGGGGTTCCTTTATAAAAGAAATTTTCATTGTTTTTGTTTATAATTTATTTAATGTATTAGTTTTGTTTGGTTCCCACCTGTTTGTTTTCTGTTTTCTTGGAGGTCTTTGGTAAAAAATCTAAATTTATTAAAAAGGTATTTTTGGATATACTTCTCTAAACTAACTTAATTTTGTACGAAAAATTGATTTCGGATACGCACTTTAATTTTAATTTGATATAAAAATTTTAAAAATATAATTAAAAATTAAATTAAATCAAATTAAGTGTTTATAAATTTTTTAGATTTTTAAATTAAATAAAATAGAAAAATAAGGAATTAAAATTTTTTAGGATAAGATCTTCTATTTTGTTCTAAAATAGGGGATTTTGATTCTTGATTTTTTTTAGATGAATTGACACAGTAAAATTTTAATTCATAGTCGATTTTTCAAAAAATTAAATTTTTTATGTTAGATTGCGTGACATAAAAATAAAAGGTCTAGAACACCGAAATTGTTTAATTATATTTTATTTTATTATAAAAATATATCAATTATTTTATTATATATATATATATATATATATATTCAAAAACTACTGAAATAAAAAATTAAGATACTTTAAATATACATATTCAAAAACTTTTAAAATTAAATATAAAATATATTCAGATATACATATTCAAAAAATATTTTCGAATATATAAAAAATATTTTTGGATTTTTAAACGAGCTTAACCAATCTTTGGTTATATGTATCTACTTTTTATTTATGAAATGTACCTAGACTTAATATGATTGAAGTGAGGTTATTAGTATATTATCTAGTTGTGTTTTTTAAAAATAGAAAAAAGAGTTGTTGTGTTTAAAGGATAAGTATGATTTGTGAGAAAATACGTCCTTTTATTTTTATTTTTCTGGTCGTTTTCATTAAAGAAACTTGAAAGTAAAGAAATTGTTTTTAATAATAGTAGTAGAAGAATAAAAAAAGGGGAAATATTATTATTAATTTAGTGGAGGAAACTATGCCATTCAAGTAGGGTATTTTTCCACGCAAAAGATGGATTAAAGTATTTCAAGGACTAGGATGAAAATTATATACTCTTATACGAGGTTTTCAACTCGAAGAAGATAAGAAGTAAGCTCTTAAATAGTATTTTTTTTTCTAAACAAAAAAAAAAGAATTATAAAAAAACAAGTTTGTTTAATGCGTAAAATAAAAAATATGATAAAATAACTATATCATATTCTATTTTAAAATTTGGTGTTTGATGATATAATAAAGCATGATTAGTTATTCATAAAAGTGATCATATACTCTTTATTTTTACAAAATAAATTATTAACTTATCTACTAAATATAATTTAAAATAAAAAAATTGAAAATTCAATTATATAATTAAAAATTATTTTTAAAAAAATGTTGTTTACCTCAACAACTTATTCATATCATGGCAAAATTAAAAAAAATATTATTATTAATAATTGAATAATAGACCAACAACTCGCACTCATCTAACTCAATTAATAAATTTAAATAACTTTATCATTAATAAATAAATTTAAATTAAATCAAAAAATTAATGGAAATAAATTTAAATTAAACTATCCACCATAAATAAATTTAAACTAACGGACTCAGATCCGCTTATTGAATTCCTATCAGATCCATCGTATATGAGTTGAGGATGTTACATGAACTTCTATTATTCACGAGAAATTTGATTAGGTTACGATCAACTATAGTGATCACAAGAATCAAAAGTAGATCGTGATTTGAAATTCCATTGACATTATCACAATCTATAAATCCTAATTCTGACCGATCTATTTTTCACCAAATATCGGCGTCAGTTACAAGTATATAGTGATCTGATTAATGAATGGTACTAGATAATGCGATATCGTGGAATTCGCCAACCAGTAACACATGGTAAACAATCGATTCAATGGAAGAATTGAAGATTCCAACCATAACTACCAGAATTATCGTATTTGCTTTTCCTTTTGCGGTTACATATATGATTTCAGATCAAGATTGATCTGAAGATGAAAATTAGCGAGAATTATACGTCGATTCCCACAGACAGTTCCAGGAACCAGAAATGGATGATCTAGCTCTGCGAAGGAACCAAAAACAAAAAGAGTTGAATAACTGGTGGTCTTGAATGGTGGCTCTAATATCCTTTTAGGTGTTGCAGGATGAACCTGCATGGTTAGCACTTCAACACTCAAGTCAGTTCAAGATTCAAGATGAGTATAATGAAAGTGAAGATCAAAGGTAGTACCTTGCTCTATATGTGTATTGATTTATATATTTTGGGCTAAGTAGAATGCATTTGAGGTGGATTGGACTTTGGTTCATTGGGCCTTTGGTCAGTCCAGAACACTTTCCATGATGATTTTTGATTTATGCAATCTCGAAATATATTTTCTTTCTTTATATTACTTAAGGTTTTAAGGTATAATTCAACAATTTCTAAATTGACTTGAAACCACGGTGATGCCAGTTTATTCATCAACCACTTTACTGCTCTATGCCAATTTAATATATATTGAAATTTTTTTACAAAGTTCAAGCCTCGCTTGAACTTTGATCTTGCCACTTGCCTCCACTTGCTCCGAATAACCTTTTTCTGCTTCACTAGTCTAACGAGCCCACAAGTATGGTTCTTCAACCACCTTTGGCTCCATTTTTTGATGCCTCCCTAAAGGTCCATGTTTATGAGTTTTTTAACCTTTTAGCCACATTCAAAACATAACACCCAAGTCCTGCATAATTGTTCCTTTGAGATGTTAAAACTCCATCTATACCTTATCACAAGTAAAATAATAATCAGAGGTCTTTGTAACCATTCCTTCACTATTACTAGTATCCCTAGTAGGAACCTCCACCTCAAACTGAGTCTTCTCCACCATAACTTTTAAAATATTTATTCATAGGTCTTTACTTTTCTTCTTGTGACGAGACTCCACTACAACAAATAACACTTTTCATGACAAAACTTTCACGTCTTCCAGAAACAAAATGAGGTTTTATTCTAAGGCACGCCATATTTTATTTAAAAAAACACTTGTTCCCTCGATTATTTTAAAAACCGAGGTGATATAGCATTCCGGACATGCTTCGAATCTCAGCTACTGCACTTTATGTTTTTATTTGTTTACAAGTGTAAAATAAATGATCTAACTCTTCAGTTTCTTTGATAACCCGAGGGACAAAATAATTAGATTTTACTATAAAAATACTCAGTGAACAAATTCCACCCTAATGCTATCTTATTTGTAGCCACCCCCAGCGTCGAATACATCATTTTTTTTTGGGATGGATTGCAAAACTGAAAAAAAATGTTCTTCTACCTTGAACAAAAATATTTTTTCAGCTTTTGTAATCCATCTCAAACAATGGTGTTGATGTTGTTGTTGAAGGTTTTGAATAACTATGATTTATTCCTAAAAATCTTTAATGATGGATTGCAAGTGTAAATTTTTTTTTCCAATTTCGGAACAAATACCTTATTAGAAATTGTATGCATTCAAAACATGCACATTGTATATGCCAGTGGAGGCAGTGATAATGATAACATCAACAATTAATCTTGGATGCAAAATTATGAAATTCAAGACTCAACACGTATATGATGGATTATAAGTGCAGAAAAACCATTGAACATATTTGTTGTAAACAATTTATTTTAATATTATGTGTAGACAATGTAATATTAAAAAATTATAATAATATTTATCACCTAGGTTTTTAACCTTAACCGAGGTGATAGTTAAATAATAATAATAATAATAATAATAACGTTACCTCGATGCCATACCCCAAATTTATCCTACTGATTTCTAACTAAATTATTTTTTATTATAACCATTTTCTTTATAAGGTTTAAATTACTATGGATAAATTCATTGGGGGGTTTAAACCTTAAAGATGGGATGGGTTTTATAAAGGGGGTTTATGGGCTTTCTAAATCAGAAAAGGCTATGTAAATTTGATGATCCATTCGGTTTTCCTTACAATTAAAAATGAGGTGTATTTAGTTCTCAAGCCCATTAAAGGGGTAAGACCCATTTGCATTTCTTGCACATTTTTGGAGAATTATTAAAATTGTTGGCCCATTTTTCTTCTTGAGCCCATTTTTGTTTTTATATATCATCATTATAATTATTTATCTGATTATTAATGCTATTATTTACATAATTATCATAATTATTAATTAATTTTTGTTATAAAAAGTTAGATATTATTACTTTTTGTACGCATTGACTAAAAAGTCAAAATTAAAAAAAAGGGTTTTAGGAACCCTAATTAGTCCCAGCGGCACCCTGTTGTTCTTCTTCATCAAACTACGCTACAAGCCCAAAGTCCAATAAACATTCACTGTACAGATTCAAAAGAAGGAAAAACCCATTTATAAACTAAAACAAATCCAATCTTTACAGAATCAAATCATATCAATTACATATACAAAATCGTCCAAATTTTAATACAAAATCAAATCCGAATCAATTATAAACAAAATCAAGTCTAATCTCTAATTCAATCACACTATTTTCTACCCTAATCAACCAAATTCTAACGACAATCACAGAAATTTCCTAAAATATCTAATTAAAAAAACTATAAATTAACCTAGAAATTTTTAAGAGAGGGGACGAAAACAGAAAGAAGAAGAAACAAAGAACTTGTCTCCTTGAAGCT